CCCCCCCCCCTCGATCTTCCGGTTTGCACCCTTTCGATTTTTGTCCATCGAATATACGATGCGAGGCAAAATTGTAGCCGAGCTTACGATTTTCTCTGCACGAGGATATAAATTGCACCCTTGCCAATAATATAGAGAAAGATAAACCGTGGATTATACATTTTCTTGTGCGAATCTGACCCATTTGTCGCGAAAAATGGGTACCACAAGGTAGCAGAATTTTTTGTTACCCTCATGTCGTATTTCTTACCGAGATACACTGTTTCGAAGAAACGTGAAAAATTGTAGTCCGCAATGTGCTGTCAATTTCATTGCATATTGTGTACTGGAAGGCAAGGTGTAGGAAGATTGCTAGAAACGCTATAAATATATGCAAGCTATTTCACAACGTTATTTATTATTTTCTTCTGTATGCAACGTGTCTTTCATGCGAGCTGGATGTCGACTGCGAAACAATCGACTATCTACTCTTTGCCACACTGTATGCGAGATACGAGCACCTGCATCTTCGATAAATCATAAATTACGTTGTTACGCAACCAACTGCATCCTATCACTCAGAAATCGGAATGTATTATCTGGATAATAGATCCAGAAGAATGTACTATAAAAATATTACTCAGATATTACTCCTCGAACGCAGTAACACGTTCCAAAGGATGCAGAATCGAGGAAACGTCGTCTTCGACAATACTAAACCCCTTCCAAAGATCATATAAGCGACAACGATCATCCCGCAGTCATCGCAGCTTTCATTTACGCTACTTGCTCCCAATTACATAATTCCAGAGACGCAAAACAAATTAACGTCATCTATCCCTCCGCTGCGTGCTGCCACGAAGAAAGCAGCCGCGGCTAGCAACGTGCCCGGTCATCTGCCACTCCGAGACTCGCAAATTAGAAGTCTCGAGGAAATATCGCAGCGGGTGAGCGTACCCCTGGCTCGGTTGACCCAGAAAGAAAAGCTCGAGATTAATATCCAAGCAAATGGGGCGACAATCGCGCGATCTTGGAAGGAGTCCCGCTCTCCTCCCTGCCACTTTCCCGTTTATCGCTCTTCTTTCACCTTTAAAACGGCATTCGCATAACGTTTCCGACGCCCCGACGTTCTTGGCTCGGCTCCAAGCCAGTTTGCATTGGCTGGTTGTAAAGTGCATGCCCTCCCGTTTCCAAATAAAATTATCGCTCGCCACTTTTTCCCATTCGACTCCGCTCCTCGGACAGATAAGATCCTTCTCGTTTAACGATCTCTATCGTTCCCTCGCACCCCCGCACCCCTGCATCCTTGAATGCCGTAGTTAGAGCCGAGGAAAAGGAGATGCTCGCTGGTTAGAATCGAAAAGGAAAGGAGTATCCTCCTACGTTTCCTCGGGATTATTGGTCCTTCGAAGCGAGTTGCCAGAGTCAAAGCTAGCCGGTCGAAGCTTGTCCCACGAGCCGAGTGAACCTCCCGGCACAATTTGGAAACTTTCCTGATCGAAGTGTATCTCCAGCCGATAAATAGCCGTGATAAATGAACCGGCCCAAGTCCCGTTCATTTTTCATCGACTTTATTAAATTTCTTGCCGCTCCCGGCACCAGCCGAGCAACGTATTTACGAAGCTGGGTCGCGGGTAATCGGTCCCCCATAGTTCGCCACGAGACACGATCGAGAGGAACGACCTGGCGCGAGGGAAGTAAGTAGATCGAGGTTTTTACGCTGACAATGAGATATTCGTCTCCAGTGAAATAGGAATTTTCAAAGAAACGACCGGCGATTTTCACGTGAAATCACTCATGGTTCTAAAACGATATTTATTCGGTATATTTAATAATATTGTAATACGTGGCACTCGTGACTGATCCAATTTCACGTCCTGACGTAAGAACACGAATATACCGGTCAGCAAAGTGCTAACGTCCGTATAGCCACGTAGGTACAAGTGGATGAGTCCGGATATATGTTATAGAATTGTACACCAGAGATACAGGCGCCAATGCTTGAATTAATAAATCATCCATTTACGAGGGCTCTGTTATGTTTAAAAATTGACCAAATATAATTGTACAAATATATCAGCCTCGAAAGAAAATTTGTAAAAGAATACGAAGACGAAACACCGAAGCCAAGATTAATTCGAAGACATGTCCTCCTTCCTATTCGAAACTTTTGAAATTCGATCGGAATTCGAGAAAGCTTCACGATTTGACGACTAACAGATGGAGCTTAATTTTTGCGTTATTTCGCAAATATCGTACACTGTCGATCCACAAAAAATTCCACGGGTACCCCTAACGAGAAGCGAAGGGAGTAACGAGCAGAGGCGTAGCGGTTACTGCCCATTCTGAAATCGAAGGTTGGCGTGTCGGTGGATAATTGCTTGGAAATTGTTTCGTTCGAGGTATCGTGAAAACCAATTTAAGGTTCACCCGTGGGTTAACTACTATTTTGTATTCGAATAATCGACGAAGACGGACAGAGGGTGGGCAAAGGAGCTGCATGGCTCCGCGATGCGTGATTGCACGGTGTTTAATGGAAGACAGATTTATTGCGTTCGTATTGATTATGCCCGTGCGGAATTCATCCGATTAACGAGTTACGGCAGAGTCGCGGGACCCGCGTTAAATCATGCCGCGCTTATGTTCCAACTTTGATGAGATCGTGAAACGAGATTCCCCGAGAGTTACTTAATGTGCCGGCCGATGTTTGAATAAATCTCGTTGCGTGTTATACCCGCTTCGAGCACCGGCTCTGCGAACATTCGAAGATTTATAAGCTCGGCTTTAAATTACCGCCTCTTGTACTGCATTATTCTTAGTATATACGTGCGTCGATCAATTTTAGAACAGTGAGAACCGCGTGTATTCCCGAGGAACGAACCTCGAGGATGGGATCGTATGGGGTACGAGCGGACAGGTGAGGCGTACGAATTCTACTGACCCAATCTCACGCTCCGCTCGAATTATGTACCTAATAAGCCTAATACCGATCGAAATTAGAAAGTTTAGAAATCTCTCGGGCAGAAAATATATTAAGGCCGTGGCACGTAAATCGTTCCTTCGAGTAATCTACAAGTTCCATTGGGATCATCGAACTTCGTCCAATATAGAGTATGCTGAAGAATAATTCTACAACCTGCGATTTTAAAGGTTTCTCGAGAATAACGTACAACGTATCACATCCTGGGTAGAAGAAACACGAGAAATATCGACTTTCGTTGTATTTACAAAAATATTCCAAAGACGGTAATTTTTTTTCAATATTCCTTTCAACGGCGTCCTATAGTACTATCCTTCCTCTCTTAAACCCAATTTGATCTACGATCGTACGATTTTTTTTCACCGAGATATCCTATTTTATATACATCGGGGACCTGAAGATCGTGGACCGATCTTTCACGCCGTTTCAACATATGAAACACCAACAAGTTTCTGCTAAAACACCCTGCATTTCGTATCTCAAACCGCAGACCGAGATGATAGTCTGAGATCTCGAGGAAGCTTTCAGTGGGACGACGTCGATCGCGCGCGGCGAATCTCCTAAAACGCCTGCCCCGATCCAAAGGACCCGACGTGGAAAAATCTCGGGACGCTGCTCGTGGAGAGGAATTTAATTCCACGGAAGCGTCTTGGTTCCCTTTACTTCCCCGACTGCAATTAGAGATGCGTCGCGAAGTCTGCCCCAGCACCGGTCGCGTATCGGTCTTCAAAGGGACCAGAGGCTCTTCCTCGTGGCGCTTTTTCCGGCCGCGCCTTCGCGATGGAGCCGGCAGAAAGGGTGGCCGGGAGAGAAAATAAGAGATTACGGCCGGCAGGCTGTAAATAAAGTTTCGTACAGCTGTACGTGGATTTTTGTGGAGCGTGGGAGAGCACATGGGCCAGAAGGGTCGCGAGCGTTTCCGCGCGAGTCGACTTGCGAGCGTGGCTTTTCTTCCAGGCTAGCATCTGCGCCGTTTGTCGCGTGGACCGTAACGTGAGAATATACGACGATAATAATGGCACGTCTGCGACGTGGGTGACTATAAAACCCGTAGACGCGATTCCACGCTGCAAAACACCTCTCTAAGAGGTCCGCGGCGGGGGGAGGCAGATTAAAACGCGGGTTTCTTCTTCGACGGTGAACACCCGGTGGCGGTGTAATTTATGCTCGTCGTCCAGACCGGGAATCGTATTTTTCCACGCCGCACACGCCGACTTCCGGTCCCGACCACGCGAGTTACTCGCGGTTCAAGTGGAAGGTTAACGAATGGCAGACATCGATTCGCGATAAAGAGTGGAGGGTGCGTGGCGCTGGGGTGATTTTTGCGTTCGACGTCAGGTCTTTGGAATTGGGTCAGGTTCGAGTGTAATTTTTTAAGTGGCTCGTATGAGATCCGCGATAGGAACAAAATTAATATCGTAGAATTGGCAATGTTATCGATCATACGCGGATCCTTTAATTGGGACTGCAGGGAT